CCCCTGGAGGTCTCTATAGAGATGACTGTTGATGGAGCTGCATCTGGGAAACAAAATTGGCATAGTAGTGAACATTCTCTTTTGGAACATCTATAATAATATAGTTATTCCCATGTTTATTTGTTTAGAACCATTTAGGAAATGTTTCTCATAGCTATAGCTAGCATCTGTTGAGCCCTCTAAGGCCCTGTTTGGATCCACACTAACTAAACTTTTGCCAGCTAATTTGGCTAGCTAAAGTTTAGCTGTGGTTGTTTGGATCATCTAAATAATTGGTTTTTATTTACCATGTTGCCCTTAGTTTTGTTGAGCCCAATATGGACACAGAAAAAAGATGGGCGATTTTGTCGTTACTCACGCTTTAGCTAGATTGGAACAGCTAAACGGATAGTATACAGTTTAGCCTCCAGCTAAAGTTTAGCTGAGTTTTAGCTGTCTCTGTTTGGATCCTTAGCAGCTAAACTAATTTAGCAGCTGAAGTTTATCCGGTGGATCAAACAAAGCCTAAGAAAAGGACCTAGCATAAGCAGCTCCAACCGTATGGTTTCTCATGGTTCCAAATGCCCAGCAGTCACACAGACAATTTAAAATAGAAAATACTATCAATTTTGTAGTTGTTGAACTGTGATGAACAACTTTGTTTAACAAAATGAGCAGGAGCAATTGATACTTGACGGCCTGCTTTTGGGTCCACGTGCAGGTGGCTGGGGAGATCCTACACCTCCTTGCGGACCACCACTGGAGACCCCGCCGTGCCATCGTCCGCCATGTCATTAGCAGTTTGTGCAAAAAGTAATGACATACTGGTCCATTACAAATATATCGCTGATCAGCATAAATAAACTGGACCTTCTCCAAATTGATCGAGGATCCAAATTCAGTGTATGCATCCGAGTGTCTATATATTGAAGGTTTACTACAATAATCATGTACTAGCTAGTTTGTATTTTGAAAGATGAATAAGTTGTTGAAACACTTGAGGAGTTAGCATATTTGAAAAAGGGGCGAAAAACTAAGTGTTTGGAGGCTTCTGGTAGGCACCGGATATAACTCCGGTAGTGATCAGGACATACCTCCTTCGGATGCACCCGCTGATCCTCCAACCGCTATGCAAGGTCCAATGACTCGAGCTCGAGAAGTGACAACTAAATTTATAGGTGACCTCGTTCTTAAGCGATCATTTGCATAGTTTTGAGAATAGATTACTACCTAACGATGTTATCCTATTTAGGAACATTGGAGGAGGGTCACGAGGAACTTGGAGGAAGCTGTGGAGGCGGAGAAGACCAGCAAGGATGCCCCACACAAGCTGGAGGCCTAGTCCAACTCGACTTCGAAGTTATCATCACCTGACACCGTTAGACTGGACAATGATTGATAGAGACCAAGTTACTATAGTGCACCATCTTTATCTCAGAATGGCATTGCCTTATTAGTATTATATATGATACCCACTTAAAATCCTATTATGCAGTTTGTTTTCACTTGTATATACTTTGTAGCAATGAAAATGCCCCAAATTTATTATGTATAGAATGAGTAATGTGAGTGATAGGATTCTGTACCAGATTGTTCCTATGGTTAGTATGGCACACGTTGCCTGATGTATGATGCTGCTGCAACTTTGCATGGTTTACATTTGCTATTGCCGTGTGAGCCCATGGTAGAAATCATTACTATTTGCAGGCAAGTAATAAAGAATATATAAGATATTATATTCGGGAATAGAAGACCTGTCAGTTAGTGTTGCACGAGATGCTCTAATATTGACACTTCACTTTGTGTGGGCGTCCTTGCTGGTCTTATAGTTTTTCAAAAGGGCCAGGCCCGATGGGCCAACACGGGCACGGCCCTAAAAAGCACGGCACTAGCCCGGCCCAGCCCACTAGGCATCGTGCCCGTGCCTGGCACGGCCCGCAGCTGTGCTCGTGCCTGGGCCGCACATTCGGCCCATGGGCCAGCACGAGGCACGGCAAGAAAAAAGGCCTGGCCCGACATCGGCATGGCTTTGAGCCATCATGGCCGTTGGATCCCCCGACCCCTGCGATTCGAGCCGTTGGATTCCGCCGTTGGGGTGGGGGTGTATATAAGCAGCGTCGTCGGCCGGCTCCCCCTTGCACCCCAAACCCTAAATCATTCTCGCCCTCCCCCGCCACGCTCTCCTCTCGCTCTCTCTGGCTCTCCTCTCCGATTCCGACGGCGCGGGACGACTCCGACGGGCGACGGCGACCTGCCGCCGTCCCCACCTCTTCTTCTCGCCCTACGGCAGCTCCGGGGCTCCGAAGATGCAGGTAAGAGCACTCATCTTCTTCTTCTTCTCGCCCTCCGGCAGCTCCGGCATGGAAGATGCTTTCTCTTCCTGATCTTTTTCTTCTTCTTTCTTCAGATCCGCTGATTCACAGCTGCTCTGAGATCCGTCTACGTCGCCGGCGTCGTTGAGGTAAGAATCCGCAGTAAACCCTAACCCTAACTGTTCTTGTTCTCTCTTTAGTTCTTGATCTTGACCGTCTTCTTCTTCTTGTTCTTGAATCTTGATCTAATGATCTACTTCTTCTAGCTCATGTGCACTTGTGCACCTGTTTGAGGCCAGTGGCGATGCCTCCCCGGCCCCCCTCTGCAGAGACAGTCGAGGCTGCCTTGTCTGCGTACCATGAGGAGTCCGAGAGGTTGCGCGAGCTCCCTGGAGAAGACGACGACTTGTGCTGATGAACTTGGGTTAAAAATGTGTTAGTGCCTGGGCCGGCACGGGCACTGGCGTGCCACCGTGCCTGCTGGCACGGCACGGCACGGTTTCCCCTCCATAGTGCCGTGCCTGGGCTGCCACTTAGGCACGGTGGCACTAATAGGCACGGCACGGCGGGCCGCCGTGCCGCATAGTGCCGTGCCGTGCCGATGCCGTGCCTGTGCTGTGCCGGGCGGCCCATTTGGAAAAGATTAGCTGGTCTTCTCCGCCTCCACACCTTCCTCTGCTCTGTGCCGCCAGCTTCTGCTCAGCGCCGCCCATGTTCACATGCCCGCGAATAGCCACGCCGGCGAGGAGGGCCGAGTTCCGGCCGACTTCCTTGGAGCGGAACCCGAGCCCACGCCCGCGTGGTGCGCTGCAGGCCAGCGCACCCGATCCCGGAGGCCGGAAAGGAAGACGCCCGTGGCCCTGACGAATCCCCCGGCTCCCTTGCTCTGTGCCTCTGACACGCCGCCGGCCCCGAGGTCAGTGGCCTTGAGATTTTCTTTTGCTTTTGAGATTCCAACTGACGATTAGCTAGCTTGCTGTGTTGAATTTGCTTCGCTATGTGAGAAGTAGCTAGGACCATAGTGTTGGTTTCTGAAACTACATGGGGGAAGAGAATGCAGCTTAATGGACAGGGAAAATTCATTAAGCTAGTTTCCTTTTTGGGAGATTATGCTCATCCTGAGAACTCCATGAACTGGTGTGGCCGCTGTCTTCTAATAAACAGCAAGGGCTGCAGTACCTCATAAAAATTCTGTACTGCATAGTTTTAAATATTGTTAGTTATATTTCAGTCTAAAAAATCCATGTATGGCTTGTAGCACTAGAGAAAGAAAGTAGATATAGAGATAGTGATGTTTCCCATCTTACACCAGCTCTGTTGCTCTCCCCCACCCCCTAAGTACGATAATAATAATGACATGACATGGTTTGTTGATAGGAGTGGTATTCAGAATTTTAGTCTTGTCAATGCCCTGCAATTTGTTTAATGTTTTGATGATGATCATTATGTTCAATCCTCTCTGTTTGGTGTAATATGGGTTGAGAAAGGTGTTGGCTGGTCCATGCCTACTACACTGTACAGGGTCTGCTGCGACCTTTCAGTATGAGGGGAGCAGCCTACCTGTCGAGCGAGGAGAGTGCACGGGTTCACATTGCTTCAGGTTTACAAAATGCTGATTACATGGCCCATTCCAAATAAAACGGTTTACTGGTGTATGCTGTCAGTCGTTGCAACTAGAGGTCTAGCACTAGTACCATTATACAGATTGAAATTGTCCACTACTTTCCCATTTTTCAAAGAAAAAGGAGTCCATACCCCACACCCACAGTGAAACAAATTGAAAGTAGAGTCAGATAGATAGCAGGCTACAACCAAGTAAAAGAAAACAGTCTACAAAGATCAACATTTGAGCATAGTATTTTTTTTTTTTTTGAAGGCCCCCATGTGCATACTAATTTTCGTCACATTTCTCCCAAAATACGGTTTCAATGCTAGGATATAGTAAAGCATTTATATGAATGATTTTGTTATTTATTGGAATTGACATTGTAGTTCAGAGGTTGTTGTTTAGTGAAAATGGCATGGTGTTGTTCAGTTATGTGAAATTTTGTTCTGTTCTTCAGTTTTCAAAATTTCAGAGAAGGTTGGTCATCTTGCTTTTTTGCATACTGAAAGATAGGTAATATGTGCTATGAAATGCAAAGTGGGAGGCCAGGAACGCATGATTGAAACACATGCTATATAGATACCGAGAGCATTCAATTTATTTCATCAGTTATTGCTCGAAAAAAGGGCATCATGCTTTGCTGTTTCTAACTAAGACTTTGGTTATATATTATACGGGGGTGAAATGTGTTGATTTTAACACTGTGGGCTAGTATAACATCACTAGTTTAATTCTCAGTCATTAATGTTTCACAGGGAGTTCCAGTTATTCTAAAGGCCTCAAATTTTTAGGTCATCACACAATTGGTTTGTGATACTTAGGGAGTTAGGGGTTACATAAAAACATGTGGTGATTCTGAACTAAACATGCGGTGGAAGAAGCGGTTGTGCGTACTGTTATTGACACTTGGTATTGTTTCCCAGTACCACACTTAGTACTATAGCCAGGGTTGACACTTAGTACCGTTTCCATGTACTGCACCAGTTTCCTATACTAGGAAAAGTACTAATGCTTGTCCCTGACTACATATTTATTTTATCAACTGCCTTGTACAAATCTTTTTCTATAGGCAAAGTGCAACTGCTACAGAGGTACTATGCGAATTACAGTAACGTAGATACACTTCCCAATGAGCACAATGTTGAAAATTCTTCTTTGATGGCCAAGATTTCAGCATAAACCTCCTCTGTTCTTGGCCGATCCTTGGATGACATCTCAGAACATTTTAGACCAAGATTTGCGAGTTGCATGGCACAGTGCTGCATTTCAACTATTTCTTGTCCGCCGTCTTCACCTTCATGATATCCAGTGAGATTTGGTTCTAAAATGTTATGGATATTCAGTGGAAGTGATGACTCCACAAAGCTGCGGATGTTTACTCCATCCTTAAACATGTCATCAGTTGGTCGCCTTCCTGTAATAATCTCCAGCAGAATAATTCCATAGCTGTAGATGTCACCCTCAACAGAGATTTTGCACCCCACACCATACTCTGCAATGTTGTGTAAAACTTAATAAGAAAGTCCTCCACTTAGCTATTTCAGAAAATTGGCAAAAATATAGATGAGATGTCAATGCATCATTTACAGGACAAATATCATGTATACATAAGAACAATTCATTCTGATTAAAAAAGCAAGAGTGAAACATGTGCTCACCTGGTGCAATGTAACCGATAGATCCTCTTGGTCCTACTGCACTCGATGAATTATTGAATCCAGTTGAAAAGTCAACAGAAAGAAACTTTGCAAGACCGAAATCACTGAGAGATGCAACCATTTCATCATTCAAAAGGACATTGCTTGGTTTCAGATCACGATGTACCAAAGGAGGAGTGCATCGATTATGAAGATAGTCCAATGCAGCAGCAATATCCACAGCTATTGCTATTCGTGTGCCTAAACTCAATGGTCTTTTCGTGCTTTTTGTGTACTCTTTCTGATGGAGCCAGCTTTCTAGGTTACCATTTACCATGTACTCAAGAATGAGTGCTTTGAATTCATTTCCAGTTGGATCAAACGTTGAACATACACTAATCACTCTTATAAGATTCCGATGGCGAATGTTTCTCAATGCCTCACATTCAGAAAGGAAGTTACTTGGTGCTCCAAATTGGTCAAGCCTGAATACCTTTATGGCAACTGCACATTCTTCAACCATGAATTGACCTTTGTATACCAATCCAAACCTTCCAGATCCAACAAGACTGTTAGGAGAGAAACCATCTGTTGCTTTGAATAAATCACCATACGAGAAATTCTTTAGCTTCTTTAATGGCTGGATGGTTAGTTGCTTTCCTTTCCTTCTCTTCAAAATAATGACAGCAACACAGGCCATTGTGACTGCAGCTACACTAGCAAGTGAAACCAGAACAGCTAAAATGTAGGCATGCTTCTTTCTTTGGGGTCTTGATGTCAAGCACTGTGGTACTTGTAGATCTGGAGACGTTGCACACAACTTATTGTTTCCTTGGATGTACACATCATTTGGTTTAGCAAAGATGCCGCCTCTAGGGACAGGGCCCTCAAGGTCATTGAAGGATAGATTTAGAATCTGTAAAGAGCTAAGTGACTCAAAAAATTCAGGAATTTTACCAAACAAGTTATTCTGTGAAAGATCCATCACAGTGATGCCTTTTAAGTTGATGAAAGAATCTGGGATGCTTCCTTGCAGATTATTTGCTTCTAAGTGGAGTGACTCCAGAAGAAGGCACTGACCAAGTGTGGAGGGGATCTCACCTGATAATCGATTGTTGGAAAGACTAAGTGAATTCAGATTGATCAATCTACCAATCTCAAACGGTATGTCTCCAGTGAGTTTGTTATTGGACAAGTCTAAGCCAACAGAAAGTGTAGATATCGAAAACAGTTCCCGTGGAATGCCTCCGTACAAGCTATTGGAAGAAAGATTGAGCGTTGTCAGTTGTTTGCAGTCCTCTAAACTAGAAGGTATGGGACCGGTCAAATTATTTTCCTCGAAAAGAAGTTCAGTAAGCTGCTCTAGCTTCCCAATTGATCTTGGGATTTCTCCAGAAAGTTGGTTTTTGGATATGGTCAGAATAGACATGTTTTGGAGGTTCCCAAGCGTGTTTGGAATTTCCCCTGAAAGAAAATTACTATCTAACTGAATTACTGTGAGATTCGTGAACTTTCCTATCTCTGATGGTATAGAACCTGTGAATTGGTTTTCTTTTAGAACCATGATCTCTAAGCTTTTTGGGATGTTGGTGATATAAGTAGATATTATACCTTGGAGGTTGTTTCTATCTAACCATAAATTTTTTAACTGTGTGCAGTTGACTAGAGAGGACATGAAAGACCAATCTCCAGCTTCAAGCCTATTTGCACCTAGATCTAGGTAACTCAACAAGGTCAGGGATCCCAGTGAAGGAATAACACCTGTGAATGCATTGCTACGGAGATCTAGATATTGCAAATTTGTGGCATTGGCCAGTGAAGCTGGAATTGGACCTTCAAACCTGCTCCCTTCCAATATCAAATCTCTGATGCTTGTAAGGGTGTTGCCGATACTGGTGGGAAGCGTACCAACAAGTTGGTTGGCCCCAAGTCCAAGAAAAATAAGAGAGGAGATGTTATAAAGTGCAGGTGCAACGGTGCCTGACAAGTTGTTATAGCTGAGGTCTAGTGCTTGCAGGGTTTTAAGCTTACCTAAGCTCTCTGGAATCCTTCCTCCTAAACTGTTTTGAGAAAGCAGTAAGAAAGCCAGGGAAGAAAGATTACCAAGTGAGCTAGGAATCTCTCCAGAGAGATGATTTTCGTATAAGCTAAGGTAATTCAGTGCCATGGAAGATGCCTGAGAGAAAGGTGGGACAGACCCGGAAAGAGCATTGTGTGATAGATCTATGTAAGAAAGAGATGTGTTGTTGAACAGAGCACTGGGTATCCCTCCAGTTAGGCTGTTGTTCTGAAGATTCACCCACGTGAGGTTTTTGCTCTGCCCTAAATATTCAGGAATGCTTCCTGTGATATTATTGCTGGGGAGAAACAGTGTGAACAGATTGGGTAGCAGGCCAAGCTGTGGAGGGATGCTTCCCTGAAGATTGTTGTAGCCAAGAATAACAGTCTGAAGGGATGAGCACCCAGCAAGACTTGGAGGGATCTCACCTTGGAGGGAATTGCTATCAAGGTCGATTGTCTCAAGACGGGAACATGCGGATATTGCCTCTGGTATCTCACCGCTAAGGGAGTTCATGCTGAGGTTGAAGTACCGAAGCTGGGTTAGCCGGCCGATGTCAGGAGAAATCTGGCCATCGAGCTGGTTGTTGGGCATGTGGATCCTTTCAAGGAAGCTGAGGTTGGCGACGCAAGGGAATATGCTGCCAGCGATGTTCTTGGATTCAAGGTCCAGTGCAATGACTCGAGATGCCTGCTGTATGCTGCCGCATGTCACCCCATGCCACTTGCAGAACACACGGGATTCGTCTCTCCATGAGGCCAATGCACCTGATGGGTCGAGGAGCTGAGATTTGAGACAGAGGAGAGCACTGTATTCATTCAGTGCGGCGGGTGATGTGTGTTGACACAAGGCAAGGAAGTGGATGGAGATGAAAGCAAGCAGCGGCAGGATGGAATTGCTGTGGATGGCTATGTGAGACATTGTTTCTATGCATATATGGATGGATGCATGTGTAGATCATCCTGCTGCCTTGGGCTAACCGTATATGATGAGGTTATATAGAGCTTCATGCCTGTTGCACTGTATGAATCTGACTTCACAAACCTGTCACCCTCTGCTTCTTCAGCAATAGGACCATTCAACATCTTGCCGCAAAGAGTCAATAAAGGAGCTTTTATATTGCGCTCTGATGTACAAAATAAAGGAGCTTGCAGACAATTTGGACAGCTCAGTCAACACGTTTCCTGAAAATATGATATGCGAATTATTTGACCAAGCGCGTGTTCAGTTCCACCTCAAATTCCCAAAAAGTGCTACAGTACATATCACATCGAATGTTTGCGGCCCATGCATGGAGCATTAAATGTAGACGAAAAAAAAACTAATTGCACAGTTTGGTGGGAAATTACGAGACGAACGTTTTGAGCCTAATTAGTCCATGATTGAACACTAATTGCCAAATAAAAACGAAAGTGCTACAGTATCCCCAAATTCCAACTTCCTGGAACTAAACACGCTCCAAAGCAGAGTGGCCCAGATTTTCTATGCGCCTGATGTAAACAAAGTAAACGAGCTTGCTGACAATTTGGACAGCTTATTTAACACATTCCTAAAAGTATGACATAATTTTTTTGACCAAAGTAGTGCTAATAGGCACTATATCACTGCAATCTCATGTACTAGTCATGTTTTTTTTTCCACTAATAATGTTTGTTGGGGAGTAAAATGCCATAGCAAACAAGTGAGCTCCTCCAACACCAGAGAGCTCAAAGCTTGAAGTCGATGGAGAGGAGAGAAAATAACAAAATGAGTGAGAATAATGAAACCCCACATTTGCCCAAACAGCCAAACTCTGTATTTGCAAGTGATGATGTATAGTATCATGCATTTGACCAATCAACAAGACTACAAGAGCAAGTGATGATGTCTAGTATCATGCACCTTTCATTTTAGAAATAAGCATCCGGTCTGCCTGGCATAGATTAATAGAGGAGGATTCGAAACAATGAAAATGAGATATTTCAAGCAGACAAAAAAAAAGTCTCGGTCAACTACACAAGCTCGAGAACAGGACTCATGCATTATGACCAAAGCACTTACCACCACGGAATGATTTCTCCCATTTTTAAACTCACACTAGTTACCAAGTTCCTGGCCATTCAGTTAGACTAAACAGAACTAATCGGTTCTTTAGTTCTTCTTAAATTTCAGTTACCCAAAAAATTCAGTTCATCTTAAACTGGGTGGCTATCAGCATGAAAATCAAGTATTCGATGCATGTGTAACTTTCTACTCCCTCCAACCTAGAAACAATGTAACTCACCTTTTAGAATTATGTATATTTATGATATCGAATAAATATTATTAGATTAATACAATAGAATTTATAGTAAATCTATTTAGAGATATAAATGTTGATACTGTTTTCTATAAATGTAATAACTTTTAAATTCTTTTTCCTGGTTTCAAACCTAGAATTGTTTTTTTTTTATGGAACGAGTAAAGATACAACGTGTCACCCTCTGTTATTGCAGCAATGGAAGCCAGTCAACATCGTCACGAAGACTCACTGGTCAATAGTCTCTGACGTGAACGGCCAGTCGCCCACTGATTTCATAATGTGATGGACGACTGGTCTCTGTATTGGTTATGCCACTTAATGACCTAGACTTTCTCTGCGCCATGATGGACCAAAGATGCTTGCAGAGAATTTGAATGTATCGCTTACGATGTGCTGATGTATGTAAAAATTTGACTCAGTTCGCACTGAATAGGCTAGTACGGATGTGTTTATTAAAATACAAGCCTACCATCCTCTTATATTTTATTAAAACAACATGTCTATCAACGCGTGCCCTTGTAAGGGCTATAATCTTAAGAGACAAGTGTTAGAAACTCGTGAATGAACTTTATACTTACAACTGACTAAATTGCTTATCTTTGCATGTGCACGATTTTCACTGTTTATTCGCAAGCACTGTATGGCTTAGATATTTAGGGCATGTTTGATCACCAAATAAACTTTAGCTGGCTAAATTTAGCTGCTAGGGATTCAGCTAAAAGACCGGCTAAAGTTTAGCTAATTATACACTAGTACATAAATTATTTTTAGCGACGCCACCCTTTTCTATCAGAGGCGATTCAACTAACATGCCGCCTCTAACCGTGTCGATGAGCACTGTAGCTCCCATGACCACCTCTGAATATCCATCTTCAGGGGGGCGGTTCTATTAGGAAAACAGCCTCTAAAATATGTCCATTTTTAGGGACGGTTGGTTTAAGAGAACCGTCCCTGAAAATGGATCTTCAGAGGCGGTTCTCCTTACAAAATCGTCTCTAAAAGTGACCTCTTTTTAAAGACGGTTCCTTAAGAGGACTGCCCCTATAGATGAATTAACAGAGGCGGTTCTCTTTAGTCCCCTAAAAATGCCACCCCTAAATACCCCTTCTTCCTCCTCGGGACAGTCTGCATGCTAAGCACCATTAGCTCACTTGGAGGGCGAGAAATAGCAAAAATAGAGGGGGTTGCCCTTTCAACCTTTGAAGGAGCTGGGTTTGAGAGGTGAGATAGTGGCATCCCTAAACTCTTTTCAAACCTTAAGTTATATTAATAAACACTATAAATATAACAAAAGTTATTTTTTAAAAATAAGCTTATACATTTTGTTTAAAACAATACGTCATATTAATATTGCTAATTTAATTTTAAATATTATATATTTTATAAAAGAATACTACTACACATATATTTACGTGATATAACAAACTCAATATATTGATGGTTTATTGGTCTTGTGCCTTTATAATATTTCATGTGATACAAGACTGTGAGCCTCGATCTGCTTTTGCTCTGCACCATGATGACCCAGGCTTTCCAAACGAAGACTCACTAGTCAATAGTCCTCCTTTGTATCAGTGGAGAAGCCACTCAAAATCTTCTAACGAAGACGGAAAACTCACCGTTCTTAGTCTTTGATGTGACCATTAGTGCAATATGACCGAATAGGTCATCTGGCCAAACGGCTGGTTGGTGCACTACTAGATAACAGATTTTAGAACGATGTCCCAATTTGGTATTAGCCTCGATATTTTTTTGTCCTCAGGACTAAAGGTTCCTTTAGTCTCGGTTGGTAATACCAATCGGGACTAAAGGTTCCTGCCCAACGGTCGTCCGCGGGGCAGGGATCTTTAGTCCCGGCTGGTAATACCAGCCGGGACTAAAGCTTTTAGTCCCGGTTTGGGTGATGCCTCGGGAATAAAGATTAATCTTTAGTCCCGGTTTGGCCCCCTAATCGGGACTAATTATCCCGGCCTATAGACCAGCTCATTTCTTCCTCCCTGAGCCTGAGCCATTCCATTCAAACTCACTGCCTCTGTTCTTCAGCTTGCTGTTGTTCTTGCTCTCTCCCCCTCCATTGGTGTTGCTCTTTGATTTTGGAGGTAACAAACTTAATCCTCTTATGTTTTATCAGTAGCTTATCTCATTTTGCGATGTAGATGCATGTGTAACTTTATATGTTGGACTTTATTATGATTTTATGTCATTTTTAGCTCAAAATCACACGATGATTTGCATATATGTTTGGATAAACAAAAGTTAAATTAGTTCATCAAAATCACTTGATAGTTTAGTATTGCTAGTATATGTAGTACATTTCATGGTTTAGTTAGATAAATAAATATTTTTATTTTTTTTAATATATTACTTTAGAAATGAGAAATTTACAATAGTTTGCAAAAATAAGTATAGAAAGTAACTTGATATGGTGGATTTGATTATGATTTCTATGTCATTTTTAGCTCAAAATCATATGATAATTTACAATAATAAAATCACTTGATAGTTTGGTATTTTACTATTATACATAGTACATATTTCATGGTTTAGTTAGATAAATAAATAATTTTAGTTTTGTTTAAATATATTATTTTAGAAAATGTGAAATTTACACTAGTTTGCAAAAATAAGTATAGAAAGTAGATGACAACTGGTACGGATCCTCGGCCTCTCGTTCGGTTTGGGAACGACCGAGGCCGAACTCCCTCTCATTATCTGCGGCAAGTGTAAGCAGAAGATTGTGATGGAGTACCGAGTCAAGAGACAGGGACCCAACAAGGGTCGTGTTTTCTACAAGTGCCCGGATCGCGATGTGAGTTTCTTACGCATTTGATTATTATGGCTAATTGACCTGCTTTTCTTGAATATTTTTGACTAAATATTTTTTGGCTTTAATTTCAGTGGGAGGGCAATGGATGCGATGGTTGGTACTGGGAGAAAGATTATGCTACATACGTGCAGAATTCGGGTGCGCTTGAGGTAGCGGCTGCTGATGATGAGGCAGTGAGCCAGCAGGAGAAGCTTATTGATATTCAACAGACGAATGATTTGTCTGTTTTAGTTGCGTACGGTCATGAAATAATTATGTTACTGAAGTGCATTGTAGTTTTAGTTTGTTTAGTGATAGTTGGGATTGCTTACGTTGTAGCCAGGCTTAGTTAATTAATCAACCGTGTGTGTCATCTATGTTGTGTAATAAAATACTTAATTATGTTCAAGGTTTTCATAATTTGTCGTGTAATTCAGATTATGTCACGCCATTGGATATACAATGCTGATCGCCGCTCCCAAGACTTTATTGAGGGCGTGCACTATTTCTTAGGTGTGGCCGAGGCAAATAAGCGGGATGGTTTCATGTGCTGTCTATGTGCCCTATGTAAGAATTTAAAGGAATATTCAAGCTCAATGAGTCTTCATTCACATTTGCTTAAGTCAGGTTTCATGTCAAACTATATATGTTGGACTAAGCATGGAGAAAGCGGGGTCATGATGCAAGAAGGTGAAGGAGAAGATTTACACATTGATGACATTATTGCTCAGTATGGTGCCTTTGATGATACTACAATGGGGGAGATGAAGAAGAGGTAGCGGCAGAAGATGATCTCGGTGATGCTCTTGGCGATGCCATTCGTGATGCACAACA